AAGTGGGATAAGAGCTTTATTAACGTACGCATGCGTTGGGCAATTGCAAAAGTACGTTAATAAAGCGTTATCACACGTATATTGTACAAATTTTTATCTACGCCTCCAAATGAAAAAATAAACGGTAATTATTTTTGTCTAAGACTTAATTTAGGGTTATTTTGACATTTTGACATTTTGACTTTTTTATTTGATTGGTTAAAAACAGAGAAAAACGCGTGCGTTAATGAACTTCTTATCTCACTCAAAATGAGTGGGATAAGAAGTTCTTATCTCACTGGCGTAGATAAAATGGTTTTATAAAAGGATATTGAATTGTTGAAAATGTGGCGTGATGCTGTTTAGCCTGTGCAAATCTAATGTGTAGTTAGTTGTTTACCGATGTTCAGATACCTAGTTCCTCTGTGGATAGTTCGAATGTGTGTAAAGTATCAGTAAAAGGTTATTCAAATTTTTCAGTAAGTACGTTTTAAATTATTATACCCACATAATCTAAACTAACCCCGCATTAATATTATTAATAGCAGTTGTAGATCACATCGACACTTTATTCAAATAAATATTTTTATTTGAGCTTTTATTTTTAAAAGATCGATTTGTTTTTACATAAACCTTTTTATCCGTTATTTATTTTATTTTTATTTAAATTTTCAGTTTTTTATTTAGAATTTGTATTTTAAACATCTTTAGCAGAGATATCAACAACCGTCAATAATTTTAAAACAAAAGCTAAAAAAAGTGTTTGTCTCATTGAGTCTTATTGAGATAGTTTTTGGGCATCTGTAATTGGTCCGTTACTATTATTTATTTACTATAAATGTTAGTAAAGGGTGCGTCGGTCTAAAATATCGGGTAAACAGTAGTTGCTTGACAATTGTGTCAACAAATATATTTTCTTATTAATTAATAAGGATAACTAATAAGTTATTAGTTATCCTTAATTTCTAAAATTTATTTTGCCTATTAACTCCAAATTTGTTACAGAAATTACAAATGCAAGAACAGATAAAATTATGTCCCTGATTGTTTCTGAGGTAGGTTTAATTTGTTATTAATTTATTATTTAATAAATATAAATTGTATTGCAGAAAGAATCGACAGAAGGTAGTTTTAAAATTAATAAGATGTGTAATGCGCCTTTATCAGCAATAAAGAAGACTAATATCGTAAGTGATATTATTAAGCCAACTGAAGTGTTTGAAAATGAAGTATATTTAAAATATTTCTAATTAGAGCAAAATTACAATAAACATTTTGTTTAACTTATTAACAATACTATTTGGTTTACAAATGAATTAAAAAAAAGATACATTTAGTGCCGCTTTTTTTTCTTATACATTTCGGCCCGCTGAACGTTTTTTTATGGATAGGTTTTTGAGATATGCATATAATTTTTTTATTTGTTTTTTGAAGGCAGCATACAATTTGTGTCATATCTCGAGTTAAAAACGGGTTATCGGGTTGCAAAAGGTGTCCAATTAAACATTATTCAGTGTCCTACAAATATAATATCTTAATTAAGTTAAAGTTTTAGTGGTATGGGCCCAAATATCGAAAAAAGTTGTGTTTTGTATAAAAATAAGAATGCAATGATTATTTTTTTAAGTTTAAATAAAAATCATCAAAATATGCCCATTTTCAAATAATCGACGTAAAGTTTACGAACAAAACAAGGTGTTTTCGATGGAAATCCATAGATACAAGTAATAAAATTCAACCTTTTGTTAATTTTTTTTATTTTTACCTTGTTTATAGGGTAGTGTTATTAAAAATAATTTTTTATATATAATCTTATAATACAAATTTATGCCTAAAAAAGGAATTGGCATATTTAAGTTTAGCGTGTACATTGGAAAAAATAGAGGTATCAAATGTTGCCTGTAAACCAGTGTTATTTTTTTGAGTTAAATAAATAAATTAATATTCTCTTCATTAATATTGTCTTAATTTTTTTGTAGTACAGATCAGATTCATCCAGTCCGGCACCAAGTAGTGATTTTGAAGACATGGTATTTTTTTTTATATACATGGTAATTTAGTTCAAGCTCTCCAACAGTAGCGTGCAAAGGTGATCAAGGCCCCCCCCGCAAATTTTGAGCTGGGGCCCCTTTGTCACTTATACCACCCAATGTGGTTCTCTACGGGGTCCCCCTAAGGTCGGCCCCCCCGCACCGCGGGCCCTGCGGGGCCCGTTCTGCACGCCACTGCTCTCCAAGCTAATTAGTAATTACTGATAAATATGATGTACATTGTAAAAAAACCATAACTACTTCAATATTAATTAACTTATGTATATCCGATAAAAATCATCCCACCACCTTGGGATATTTGGATAAACACCAAATTTATATGAGTATATAATGACATTAAATAAACAAGTTCTGTGCAAGCTGTATTTAAATTGAAGTTTGCGAAAAAAAAGATAACTTTGCTCGGCCGTACCGGCCCAATGGCGCCCCCAATAAATGTAATATTAATTTAACTGGTGCAATTTATTATATATACCATAGTTTATCGACAAACTTCATTTAAAAAATCCAAATTATTATAGATTTTATACCATTTTAAATTTTTAAAATTTCTTTTCAAATAAACTTTTAATATTTCTTTTCAAAGAAATAATAAAAATTTAAAATAATATAAAATAGTATGAATTGGATTTTTTAAATAACATTTTAAATTTGTCGATAAACTATGGTAAATAATAAATTGCACCAATTAAATTTATATTATACTTATTGGGGGCGCCATTGGGCCGGTACGGCCGAGCAAAAAGTTATATTTTTTTCGAAAACTTCTGCTTGCGCAGAACTTGTTTATTTAATGCCATTATAAATTTGGTGTGGGTCTCGGTGTACCCAAAATCCACCAGCCGCCACTGGGAATAAAACAAAAAAGTAATCATGATTACTGCAGTGCCTGACTTTTATAGCAATTACTACTAAATTTATGAACAAAATATGTATCTCTAAAGTATTCGTTTTATAATGTCTATAATCTACTTTTTTATAAGTACAGAGAATTTCTTGGTGCCTCCATGGTAAATAATAAAATGGTCCTGTTTTTTAAACAATTAACTTAGAACATTGTTATATATTAATATTATATGAACGCTTCTAAACAGTACCTCGTAGCTCAATTTTTTATCGACAATAAGCTTTTTTTACTGATTATTATTTTGTTATCCAATATTTGTCTATAGCTCGTTAAGACTAACAGAACATTAAACAAAATAATAAGGGTGGATATTAAAATTATTTGTAAAAATAAATTAAATCTATTGGTCTTAGGTTTTAAAGCCAGAAGATATTTCTTAAGCAACGTATTTTAAAAGTTATAAAATCCATTGCCCTTTAAATTATTTACATGTATTTATTATAGATTTATACACCCATTCAAGATAATCAAGATAATAATAGCCCACTAAGCAGTGTAAGCTCATTTTGCAAATTATTGAAGTCAAATACATCATCATCAAGTCCCTCACCGTGTGGTAATTTTGAGAACACTGAGGTATTTTACTAAAACTTATTTTTTATCATTATAATATGGTATTCATTACAGATTTTAACACGCATTTATAACACCCGCAATAAAAAAAGGAAACTAATTGTGATCTTCTATATAGTAAGGAGATAATTTTTCCAAATGCAAAATTTAAACAAATATAATCGATAATAATTTGTTATTATAGCCATGTTCCCCTTTTGATGACTCCGATGCCGATCCTACTTACACTTCTTCAGATGAGGTAAGTGCTTTTTTATTGTTTTTAAAGTAGTTTTTGAAATAATTAAAATTATTGAAAAATAAAATATTATTTAATTTATTAGAAAAAACAGAAGAAACTTCATTTTAAATCTCTCTTTTTTGATAAATCTGGTTTAACAAAGCATGCTGATCTTGGTAAAAAATATTAAACAAAATGACAGTTATAATCTTCATCTACCATCTACCTCCGCATTAGATGAGGACATAAATCCTTCTAGTAAAGATCTTAACATTGCCATAATAAATGAGAAAAATCATTATCAGCTAGAAAATATTAACAGCGATATTACCTCATCATCACGTGCCAATTCCCAACATTTAATAAAAACAAATGATCCTGACAAATCCATAAAAAAAGAAAACCTGATTTTTGCTATTTCTGTGAAGAAGAGGTTCTTAATTTTGCAAGACACATTCAAAGACATCACTGTTATGAAACAGATGTTTTAAAAATTATGTCACTTGAACCTAACGACAAGGAGAGAAAAGTTTTAATTACTTAGTACCTTAAGGAAAAAAGGTAATTATATTAGAAATATGCAAAGTTTATTCAAGCCAGTAAGATCATCCAAACGTAGTGATCGAAATCTTTTGCCTTGTTCAAACTGCCTAGGATTTTACTCATCTACCCTATTATACAGACATAAGAAGACTTGCAGAGGCGGTGAGGGAAGAAATGCACAAGCTGATGGTCAAACTGTCTTATCCAGCAATTTTAATGTTCGTGTTGATTACCAATTTAAAGAGCAAGTGTTTCCTCGTATGAGGCCAGATAAAATTAGTTTGGAAGCAAAAAAAGATGCTCTTATATGTGCCTTTCGAGCTCACTATTTGAAGACACACAGAGATAAACACTTTATATAACTTCTAGAAAGATGAAAAAACTTTCGAGACTTCTATTAATCTTGAAAGAAAAAGAACCCAAGATTGGTACCCTATTTCAAGCTCTTCAACCCCAGTACTTCGAATTAATTGGTCAATCAACAAAAACTGTGTCAAAATACGACAAAATAAAAGATATATATAATCTTCCTACTTATGCTATGAATTTAGTAACATCACTTAAGCAATGCTGTGAAATAGCCCTCACTCTTTATTTAACTGGAAAAGTACTAAGCCAGTCAGTAGCAGAAACAGAAGTAAAGCTCAAAAATATTATTATTCTTCTTAATACAAACTGGAGATAGGAGATATCAAGCCAGGCTGGAGGTGATCTTAACTTAAAAAAAATGAACAAAATAACTATAGTTCAACTAGCCGATGATTTAAAAAAATTAAAGCAACATCTTATTGAAAGAGCCAAAGCTTCAATCGAAATTTTAAAAATTAAACCTACTAATAAGGAAGCATTCATAACATTAATTGAAACCATTTACTGCAGAGTAATTCTTCTTAACAGAAAAAGACCTGGTAAACTTCAAAGGATATCTGTTCATTCTTATTCAAGTAATAGGTCGGAAACATTAAATGCATATGAGGAACTTGATCCCATTATTTCTCCTACCGAAAAGATTTTGCTGCAGAGCTTTAAAAGAGTCGTTATTAAAGGAAAAATAGGAAGAGGAGTCGCTGTATTACTTAGCAAAGATGTGCAAGAACATATAAATATTGTATTATCCTTAAGACAAAATTTAGTTGACGAAAACAATCCTTATTTGTTTGGTAAACCAGACCTGCTAACACCCATAACAGGATACAAAGTCTTAGAAAAATATGCCACAATAAGTGGGGCAAAAAATCCTACATCATTAACGTGCACCAAATTGCGAAAACATTTAGCGATCTTATCTCAACTATTTTCTTTAAATGAAACCGAAGTGGATCAGCTAGCAACCTTTATGGGTTGGGTTGGTGTGCATAAAAATTCGTATAGATTTCTAGATGATGTTCACCAGACCGCCAAGATTTCAAAGCTACTTTTACTGCTGGAAATATAAAGGTAAGACATTATAATAATAATAATAATATCGTTTATTTGTTTAAAATACCATACATATGTATACATATAATTGGCGTAAAACATGTCAAATTCAAAGTTAAATAATTAATACATATATTGTATACAAAGATAAATAAAGAAAGAAATCATATTTCACAAAAAAGTGTTTTGCTCGGTTGCGTTGGCCTTGACTCTCCATGTATCTAAACATTGTATTTGTTTATCATTTATAAAATCTTCAATGCAATAGTAACATCGTTGGGTTAATACAAATCGGAGATGCTTTTTAAGTTTTTGGTGAGGAAGTTTTCTTATGATAGCCGGTAAGTAATTATATATTTTCACTATTCTATAACAAACATTTTTTTGTAGATACGAATAACGTAATAAATCTGTTGATAAATTTTGCTTGTGTCTTGTGCTGTACGTATGGTTTTGACAGTCAAAGAGGTCTTCATTTTTTTTAATGAACATTACTGCCTCATAGATGTAAAGGCTAGCTAGAGTCAGAACATTATTATTTAAAAAGTATGGCTTGCATGATGTGATTTGGCTAAGATTAAATATATTTCTTATGCATTTTTTTTGAAGAACTTCAATTCTATACGTATCAATCGAATTATACCAGAAAATTAATCCATATCTGAGCTTGGACTCCACGTATGCATTATACATAATTATTGCAGCCTCTTTATTTACATTGTTTGCTATAACTTTGAGTCCATATATGTCTCTTGCCAATGTTGTTGCTAAATGTTGTACATGTACTGTCCAATCAAGCCTAGAATCAATATATACTCCGAGGAATTTAGCAGATTTTTGTGTTGATATTTCAATATTGTTCTTGGTAAGTGTTAATTTATCATCATTTTTCCAAAACGAAAAGTTAATGAGTTGTGTCTTGTTTACATTTATTTTTAGGTTATTGTTGGTGAACCATTTTTCCAGGATATCCAGTGAACTTAATATTTTTGCCTGTAGTTCCACCAGTGAGTTTTCTTTTACTAGAATGGTTGTATCATCAGCATATGACACGACAGGAACATCTATAAACTCAGGTAAGTCATTTGTATATATTATGTAAAGTAGTGGCCCCAAAATTGATCCCTGTGGTACCCCTCTTTCACAGATTTTATCTTCGGATTTTATTTTAAAACCTTCAGATGTTCTTTCTATTACTCTTTGTTTTCTATTATCCAGATAGCTAAAGATCAATTTAAGGGCTATTCCTCTCACTCCATAGTATTCTAATTTTTGTAAAAGTATTTTATGACTTACACTGTCAAAAGCTTTTGTTAGATCAATAAATACTAATGATGTTTTTTTTATTATTAAGAGCATCCAATAGTAATTTAAGGCTCTGAAATATGGCTCTTGATGTTGACTTATTCTGTCTAAATCCATTTGGTTCTGTTCAAGGTATGAAATGATTCTTTGGTGAATTATTTTTTCAAAAATCTTACTGACGTTTGATAAGAGTGCTATGGGCCTATAGTTGTCATTGGATCAAATAGACCTAAACATGGACGATGACATATGTGACATATGTGACAAGAACGAAAATAACGATGATAATGAAGATAATGAAGATGAACCTCAATCTAGTTTAGCTAGAAATTAAAATTTTGATTTGGACAGTTCTAAAGACATCGTTAATTTAGACAATGTAAAGACAACGCATTAAAAAATGGAAGTTAAAAAAGGGAAGAAAAGAATATTGGTGACGTGGACCCCTGAACATATTAAACATAAACATATTAAGGACAAGAAACTTCCTAGGAGGGCTGAGTGTGAAGAATTAAAAAACACATATCCAAACTTATTCAAAAACAAGGATTGGCTTAAAATTAAAGTTTTTATACAGAATATACGAAGAAACAAAAAGATGATTCTGATACTATTTAAGCAAAAACACTGAATAAATGTCTTCATTTATTTTATATTTGCATTTTATCTTAAAAAGTTTAATATTACGGTTGTATTCTTTAATATAGGTATTTAAAATGTAATGCATAATTTTGCAAGGAAATAAATGTAATTAAAATAAAAAGTTTTTTTAACTAAAAAAGCAAACTCTGTTTTATTCTTAAAAAAAAATCCAAAACCTCTAAGGGTGCTATGCCTAGACCTGCTTACAACAAGAGATCAAAGGCACTAATTTGGTTTCTGATTTTTCACAAATTATATGCTACATATTATGTGCTGGTATTTTTTTTAAATTTGACAACAGCGTCGGACGCAGTATCATACTAAGTTTGTTTATAAAGTATACATAAAAGACGCCGTATTGTATGTAAGGTGAAAATAACTATACACTAGATGCAATAAAGTCTGTTTTTAAACGGATGATAATGTATATATATATTTTTTATTTCTAAAGATATTAAAATTTTGAAAGCACCAATCGACTGAGAATAATGAGTAGTTTCAATAAATGCCGCCAGATTTGAGCTAAATAGCGTATTTCTGGTAGATGCAGCAAGGATACATTTTGGACAGACGCAGCAACATACTCCAGATGTATATATATATATATATATGTATAAAAGAAGAATTCTTGAAGAGTTATTATTTTTCCGCTTTTTGCGAAATGGCAAACCTATGCAACCACCTTGAAACAAAATTGTTCCGCTTAGGATTCTTGCTCCATTTTCAAGAAGATGCCCAGCTATCCCAAGACTTAAACAACCCATTGAAGAAGACATCTTTAATGTTCTTTTCTTCCTGTATAATAGTATGTTTTGGATATATAGATATGCAATCCAACATTACCAAGCCCGAAACATTACATTCTACAGTAGCTATAAACGAAGCCCACTCGCCCGAAATCGGGCTTCCTAAAATTAGCGTGTATAAGTTTGTTAAGTGATGCCACCTTGTTTCAATGCCAAAAAAGTCGTGGGCTTCGTAATGTCATCCAAAATTATCAAATATACACCTTTAGTTCCAATGGTTTAGGGCTAGGGGGCACATGAGTCAAAAAATATTATATACAGTTCTGTATAAGTATCACGGAGTATACGAAGCCCGTACATCTGGCAACAATGGAAAGCAGCAACCTGGGGGGTAGGGTTACCACATCGGCCGGACTGCTCGACTGGAGAATTTTTGGCAGGGGAAATGAAGCGCAAATTTTAAATTTTCATAATATCTACTCTTTTTCAGAGTCAAATTAAATGTTATATTCCAAAAACTATGCTTTGTACTCGACATGACGTAGATAAAGAGCAAATATTTTGGTTAATACTATCGTAATACATTTAATTTTTAAAGGAACATTTATTCTAGATATGTTATTTGAGTCAGCTTCCCAAGTTATCCAGAACTAAAACTAAAACTAATTATAAATAAAAAAAACTCCATTTTAAATACCTAAGTGAAAAACTAATTCAAAGGTTAGCTACTTTGCTTTGTTTTGCTTATGAAATTAATAACCTGATTATGATAATCTGACGGATGAATTTATCGGGGCCACTAGATTTTCTTAAGTAAAATCTAGTTCCTTTTGTTTTTATTTTGAAAAATCTGGTAGCCCAGAGAAATTTGCCGATCATCCGGAGAACAAGAGATTCTCCCTTAGCACAGTTTACCGCGTTGGTCTGAAAACCTACTTTTCAGGTCAAAACTAATTTGTGAATATAAAGTATTTTTGTTTTAATTTTGTAAGGAAAAATAGTATTGGCAGTGCTATAAACAAAAATAATTTATGGCCATACACTTTCCTTTTTAGGATTAGACTATTTTAGTAAAAATATAGTTGTAACCTTATAAATAGACATAAAGCTTTATATTTAATTTAGAAATAAAAAATGCATTAGAATGGAAGAAAATTGTTAATTTTACAGTACCTACGCTAAACTTAAAAAAGCAATTTTTGGATAACATACTACAAAAATTATTAATTTGTGACTTTTAGGAATTTAATTTTTTTAATTTGATATTAAAATATTTTGATGCTATTACATTTTTCTTCTTTATTGGGGGATAAAATTTAAAATGACTATTTTTCCCACTTAACTTTTAAAGTGAAACTTCTTTAGCGAGGTGTAAGTCCGGAAAAATTGAAGCGAAAAATATGTCATATCGCGGGTATATCGCTAGCACATTACGGGCATATCGCGATATCCTAGACCATGCGGGATATACTTTTTATCGAACAAAACTTATTATTTAGTTTTTATATGTTTTTTAAGTAGCTCAGGCAGGTTTGAGCACAATTAATTATAATTACTCTAAATCTCGATTCCTACCATCTCAATTTTTTTTGTATTTATGTCAAAGTATATTTCAGTAGATGTATATCAAACAATATTTTTATTTTTAAAATAAAATGCACAGGAAAAAAATCTGGATTAGAACTGCAACAATTAAATTTTAAAATTTTCTTTATTAAAGTAACAGTTTTTAAAATTTGTGAACCTATATTTTTCAATATAAATTATTTAAAACACAAAGTGTATAAGTCATCCATAATTTTTTTCATTGGGTTTAATTTAACCTTTTGGAAAAGCAGGGATTCTTGCCCCATTTTCAGCAAGGGTGTAGCAATGCTTTTGTTCAGGGGGGCAGGCAAGGGTACACTATATGCATTCTACAAAAAGTTTCGAGACTCCACCTCCCACCCATTTTCTATCACAATTTTTCTAGACATGCAATTTTTGAGTATAGCTACCTCCTTTTGATTAAAAAACTTTATTTGAAGCCATAATTTATGTATATCAAGCATTAACCAACATATGTATCCTCTAGAGTTTGTTTCTTAATTTTTTTATATTCTTGTCACAAATTTTAAATGTCTTTTTTCCCTCTCGATGTCTTCAGCATCATTGCATTTATTTTTCAAAACATTTGCCTAAATGCCTAAAAAGTGTTATTGGTACCCACCTGTAAAATAATAAGTAAAAGAGCATTGCCTTTTAGAAACAAGTCTAGTATTCCTTTAACTATAATATTATATATAATTATTATAATAAATCTTTTACAAACACTTAAATACAA